AGACTGACACTTGCCATCAACAGGTTGATGAGAAATGCCTGCGTCTCAAGTACTGCTGCGGCCTTTTTAAGCTCAGTCTTATTCTCACGCTCACACACAGCTACGCTGCATACTGCACCTGCTTAATTATCATAGCACTGTGCATACATTTGTATCCCTGGGATGTGGATTTACATTGTATCCCTGAGTTCCGAATTTACAGTAAAATAGCAATCTTACAAATGTTATTCCAAATGAACTTCACAATCACGTTTGTGCACTCGGATCCTGAAGCAAACTAATGTTTTCTGAATTAGAAGTGTTCCGTTCTCAGTAATCTACGACTTTCTGCTTTAAAATCTACAATAGCAGAATTTAATGTTGTAAAAGGACTTATGCTCAGTTTCACTCCATGCAAGTAAAGCAAATTAATCCTATTATGACATTAGGTAACTTTTCCATGTACAGACGGAAAAAAATTCAGTTCTCAGTTTGAACAACACTGGGTAGGAAATGTCCACTTCCTCAAATTATATTTGAAATAATAGTATTTTACCACCTACACAGATAACACAATCGCCTTTCCTTTTGAATGCCACAACATTTTCCATTGGTTTTATTAAAAAAATTAACTGCTCATTCAATAATTTTATTTTAAACAGTATCCTTCTGGTTTTATTTTTCAATGCTGCTGGTTTGAAAATTCCCCTCGCTCACCATTTCCCGAAGAGAGTTGGCAGACAATTCTCCCACGCTTGTGCCCGTCTCATTTTGTCGGAAGGCTGGAGTGCGTTAGCTACCACAAATTTCAAGATCTCTCCCTGCTCTAGGGAACAGTCCATACACGGGCCGCCGCTCTCCCCCCACTCCATCTTTGCATTGACCACTTAACAAATAATCAGTTAGCCCACTGTCTGCAGTAAACTTGTGAGCCACCATTCCATGGCACAAAATAGGAGATGAGGAATTTACTGGACTACCAGATTTCACTAGCTATTGAAGTAAATCAGACACACAACGGAAGCCTTTTCTACCAAAGCAGTAACCCCAATCTGGTCCTGGACATTTCAGTTTATGAAAGAATGTGGTGGAGAGGGATCATTATAGTTTAAGAGCAATGCTTTGGTTCCAAAAACATCCTATTTCAGATAGGAATCACCCAGTAGTTTTCAGTACATTTTATATTTTAAACAAAGCTTTCTAATCAGCTGCATCTAGCCATGGACCATATTTTAAGATTTATGAAAGTTTACAGGTCATCTAATCTTAATTTGAATCTCAAAGCAAGCTGAGAATTCACCAGTATGTTAAAATCAGGAATGCTCAACACACTGATATAGAAAAGGAGTTTAACCAATGTATTTAGTTAAACAAATCTTTCCTCGCCACTCATACAATGTGCGCACACGATTTGCAAGGGGAGGGGCGAAAGATGTGGATGGAATGGCAAGATGACTTTCTTGCAGTTCTAATGGTAAAAAATTGAATTTCCCATTCAGTAGCATTTTAAAATACTAATCTCAATGTACATTCAAACTGCGTGGCTCCAGTAAAGAAGCAGGGGTGGAAAAAGGCATTTGTTGTACTAAGTTCTTAGTTGCTCCACTGGTTGGAGCTCTTCACAGCAAGGCGGAAAGAAAAAATAAACTTGCAACTAGAAATGCTTCTGTATCACATCACTGATCGGCAATAGAGAAAATGCTGGAAATGTAGAGCAGGTCAATCTGCCTCTGAGAGACAGATTAGCTTTTGGGGTGTCATTTTGTCAGAATCGTTAAACTAATTAATTCTCTTTTGCAGAGAAAATGAAACCCGATTTGACCTGCTGCTTGATTCCAGGATTTTCAGTTTTATTTCAAATTTCCTTCACCCAGTTTTTCATCTCCTTCAAATCTAGAAATTTGTTAACCACAATGGAACAGAGGGCCAAAATCAGATTTCAAACCTGCAATAAAATCACTTCAGCTCCTGCTGTTATTTGAATCATTACAGAAGTGACAGCCAACTTCAGACCTGTATTACAATCGTTGTATTCAACATCGACACCAAAGCTCCACTTTTCTGGCCAATGATGATGAACATCAACATACTTTCACATAGTTCTTAGCAGCTGTGACCACCATTAAATCACTATTTGAAAAGAGGGAGTTTCTCCCAGTGTCCTGGCCAACAATTTCCCCAAATAGAATTGGGTACTCAGGCCATTCGTGGGACGCTGCTGTGCGCAATTGGCTCCCGTGTTTCGCCCACAAAATACGCAGTCAATCAAATTCACAGTATATCCTTTGAATCGTTTTTTGAGACATCTCAACAACGTGATAAGGTAATATATCAATTGCAAGGATGATGATGATGATGATGATTATCATCATCATCATCATCAACAGCATCTTGGGAGCAATAGAGAATGTCTGATCTTCCAATAGAGAATGGTATGTAGAAAAGGAGACTGAAAGTTTTTTTTAATTTATAAAATAAAGCTTATCTAGTTTCAAAATAAAGCCATTTACCAGAAAGAAATGGCCCACTTTCTTCCTCTCTAAAAGTATACAAGACCCGAATGTCTCCTATAGCTACTTTAATCAGCAATACAATTCTGCACTCATTTTAAAACAGTGCAGTTAGTTACTCAATACATGTTTAGCTACTCCATTTTCTATTGAAGCTAATTCCGATTCCAAAGGAGTAAACTATTTTGCTGCTCCCACGATCATTAGCATTAATTGACAGTTCCCTTTTTATCAAATTCTGTAATCAGCCAGCCGCCACGATACTCCAGTAGTGTAATGGACAGGTGCCAAAAGAAATGCCACATTTAGCAGTTGTGAAAGCTGATTTTACACACCAAACAAGTTACACAGCAGGCCTATGGAGCTCAGCTGATGGGTAATGGTCATCAGTGTCATTCGACTGTATAAAAGCCAAATCCCAACATCTGTTCTGGTACAATTTATGTGTTGCACAAGATACCAAAAACGGAATTATATAATATCAAGCAATACTATTTTTGCCAGGTACCATTTAGAAACTGCTTAGCATCATCAGCCTCCGTGGCATATTGAAGATTTCCACGAACTCAAGTGGATTACACCAAACAAAAGGTAAGTCTGCAAATTTTGCAGACAAATCTTTAGTAATGATAAAACTGATAATAGGCACAAAATTGCAGCTCACTTAGAAATTTGAATCTAATTCAGTCAGAGCCTCCTCAATACTGAATCTATACTGCAGTAACTGGACTTGTTTTAAAATGCATTACCAAATCAAGTGAAGCAAGAGTTAGCATTTGCATCTGGCTTACAATAAATCAGTTAAAGCCTGACAAATTGGCAACTACGCAGACCTCCAGCATGTATTGAAGATTTGGTGGGCACTTAGCCATAATCACAAAACAATGTTCCTGCTCTACTTTTTTTTCCTTTTGAGCATCACACGCAAAGTGTGGGTTGCTGCATTGTCCAACTAGAAGGAACAGTTGTGAACCCCTAATAAACACAATGCTTAATGCTCGATAAGTACAATTTTACATTTATTTTGACCATTAAGTAGGTTTTAGAAGAAACAATAAATGGCAACTTGAGTCCTGTAGAAAAAAAAGTCAATTTTCTCAAGCTGAACTTTTCATTGACAGAGCAAACGGAACAAACAACAGTGCAACGTGTAAACCACTTCCCATCCTTACCACAGGTTAGTGTTTCTCATATATTAAATATGTGGCAGGCATGCAACTTAATCAGTCACAGAAAAGGGGGTTAATTTCTATATGTTTTGCTGAGAATTGTCATGACTCATTGCCAAATAAGCAGTAAATAAAATTCTGGGTATAGCCCACAAAAGTTGCTCTGGGACTCCATAAATGCAGTTTCAGCGCCTTGGACGTCCTCCCAAAGTGAAAGGCGCTATAAAATGTAATCTTGTTGTTGTACCTGGAAAAAGTGGTTTCAGCAGCTGTTTGACTCAACCAGTTGTAGAATAAATATGGCACTTATGAACTTTACTGAATTCACTCCCAAGTGTTCCCTTGAAAGCTCTCAAGTGCTCCACTGACCTGCCAAGGAAAATTCAGGGTCTATTTTTTACTACTAAACCGTTTTATTATCATGCTGTATTATTAAATGCAAGCAGCTCTTTAATATTCAAGCAAATAGAGTCAAACAGGTATGCATAGAAATCTAAAATCTAGAACATGATTAATTACAAGCCAGATGTAAATGCTAGCTCTTGCTTCACTTGCTCTGGTAATGCATATTAAAATGAGGCCAGTTACTGCAGTACAGATTTCCAAATAAGATTGTAATGCAAATCAGATTTTTTAAAAATACAGTCATTATGTTCCCATTGATGAGCGCGTCACACCACTAAGCTACATAAAAAATCAGGATTATCTTGTGTCAAGCCTAACTCAGTCAGAGCCCATGTAACACATATACTGCCCGGTCTCTTCACCCGTGCTTCCGCACAAAAGATTAAGAGGATTGTGCTTTAAAAGCACAAATGGAACAGATAGTTGCTCCTCAACACCAACTTCAAGTATTGAAATGTGACTAAAGATCATAGTGAAAAAAATAACGACATCAGTGCAGCAGGTTGCGCAAAGTAGAAAAGGTACAAACAGACTGTCAAATTAGTCAGAGCCCATAGAACATGTTGAGTAACCCACTGGTCAACCAGCTGCTGTATTTTAGGCACTTCACATCCTACCCGAGTAGCAAATAAATGACATGGTCAGTTTTCTGCTATTGACGTAGGGCTTGCTGAAAACCAAGTTAGGATTGCTCAATTAATTATTCTTAGTTCCCCAAACAGCTAGCAGAAGTGGGGAGACCTCAACCCATCAATTTGGAAAGGTTTGAAACGCAACCCCTAGAAGTTAAACAATGCGCTGGTAAAGAGAATATTCCTTACTTTAAACAGAGAAGAACACCATTTTCTTTTTTTAAAAAAAAGCACTTGCTTGAAGTCTTGCTCACACTGCATATCAAAATACTACAAACCACACCACATGCTGGCCCATTCCTTACTGTAATGCTGCTCCATAGTCTGTTAGGCAACCATAGTAACAAGCTGTCGTACAAATGAATGCTTCCACTTCATACTTGGCAGAACTGCAGAGGCAGTCTTTATCTATCAGACTCTAGGTTGAAGGGAAAAGGTTCAGAAAGTCAAACTAAGTGAACCACACAGGTGTTTATCGATATTATCACTTAAAATTCTAAATATGTAAGACAATAAGTCCACAAAGTACTGAACAATTACTTTTTATGATGTTTCACTTACAAATATTATAATCATGTTCTAAGTGTATCAAATTCATAAATGAAAATGCAGTTATCTGATCTAATAGCTCCAGAACACGCAATGATCTAAATCAAGAGTTGATTAAATAATTTCCCCACAACATGTAAATGAAATACGAACATGTTTTGAAGGAATCCCAGTGAATAGCAAATGACGCACTGTATCTACGGTGAATCTAGTAGGCACAATATTTGATATCGTTGATGCCCTTTGATGTCTTTTTCCCTAACTGTATTGCCTCATCTCCTTAAGATGAATCTTGAACAGTATTGCAATTCTTGAGCCAACTTATTTTAAATCTAATTGAGGACCTTTAAAATTGGTTCTAGGTGCCCCTGAGCTTTCCATGTCATTTATGACCTTTGTTCATGGCAAATGAAAGGAATTATGTTTGAAGTTGTTGTTGGGCAGAATATATAAATAAGGGGTGAAAAACAAAACAGTATTGTATTACAAAAAAACTTGTACTGCCTTATACTGGTCAGGTGATACCATCACATCTTATATGCTTTGGTTACAATGTTCCCATCTCATCATAATCAAATACTCCTGGATCATTAACAAAACAAAAAAATTGATTGAATGTATTGCTAATTGATTACAAACTCACAAGAAATTGACCGACTTCCTTCCCTCTCCCCCAAAGGCATTGAGATTCTATATATACAGCCCTGATTTTCTTGAACAGAACTATAATGCATCAGACTGGAACAATCAGGTGATCCTATCGGTTTCAGAAGCCATTGGAGCATAATCTCAGATGTCTACTATTCAATACGTAGTGTTTTCTTTAGATTCAGCTTTAATTCAACGTTTCTCAAACCAAAATTTCAAAAAACTGCCCTTTGCTACAGATCTGTCTTTTATAATACATTACAATGAAGTAGGAAAAGTGAACTACAATGTCAAATATTCCAAATGATAATGACTGCTGTAGAGTGTGTACTATAAAAAGGAAGCAACACGTTTGCCAAATATGATAAAAAGAGAAACTGATTGTAAATCTGAGGATTTAAAACTTCAAGGATAAAACATTAATAACTTAAGGAAAGGCAATTAAATCTGGTATTGCAACACATCTGAAAACTCTTTTGAAAGTACCTGATAGATTAAACCAATAAACATTTATCAAACCAATAATAATTCAGCTGGTAAAAAATTAAGAAAATAAAACAGATGGAAAAACAGAAATTCTCAATAGAGAATAAAATGTCTTCCAACGTTTTTTAAAAGAAAACACCTGCTGACAACTGAATTAGCCATTAACTTCAAATCATTAAAATTATTTGAATGCTTGTCCGAGTGGCTTTAAAAAAAAATGCAGTTTCTTTGGGTTTCTGTTCAAAGATCAGAGGCTACTTATTAAAGGTATTTAAACAAAATAATTAGGTCCATCTGTTCCACAAAGCCCAACATCTCCTCCACAACAATCAATTCCACTAAATCCCAACAGGCTGATCATTTCAGAATCTCATACAGTACATCAAGTCTGTACAAAAATTCAACTGTAACCTTCTGCTGATTTTCTTCCGTTGCTCTGACCTGCCAACCTTCGGCATGAGAAATGCTGCTACTACAGGCAAGAGCTTGGTGATGTGAAGTTAAGGCAAGAAGCTTGAAATAAATGCCATCATGTTCCACACCTGTGAAACGCTTAGATTCCTGTGCAATAGTGCAGCGCATATTCTTGGAACCTTGACCTGTGACAGCATTATCACTTGCAATTTTTAGAACAAGTTAATCAAGAACCTTAGAATTGCCTTGCAATTGCCTTGTGCTTTTTAGGCTTATGAAGGGATAGCAATAGAGCTCAAATGTTCCCAACCTTTAATCATAAATCAGACCTGGTAAAACAATGAAAAAATGTATACCCAGAGGAAGCCTTGACAGCAAATGTATACCTGTGGATACAAAGATATGCCTTGCTTGTATAACACTAAAATATTGTATTAATATTCAGATGCTGCAGTGAAAAAAATATTTTACATTAACCAAATGCAATGAAATCTCACTGATTTTTTTTAAATCTATTATTTTCTTCAGATTTCCTTTCCTCACTTTATTTCAATTAAAGCTGGAATAGGGTTATTTCTTCAGCCCTGCTCTATCAAACTATCATTATTTGAATTGGAAGCCTTGACAGCAAATGTCAATGAATGATTTAGCCACAGGGTCCCAATTCTGTCCTCACCCAACATCCACAAGTCTCAATGGAGAGTGGTGAGGAACAGGAAATCTCGCTGAATTTCCCATCTCCATTCAAGTTAATTGTGTGACCCACCACCGGTTTGAGTTAACTCAACACAGAGCAAGGATCAGGATCATCACAGCAGGTGTCACTAGGGCTGCAGTTAAGGTGAATCAACAAGGGCTACACTTAAGAACGAGAAAGATTGGCCTCAGCCAAGACTATTACAGACGCCCTTCTCCGCCTCTCTTATTCGAACATCCTGATAACATTCACTGTCAAGCCTCTGGTGAATAATAGTCAATCAAAAGGTGTACCTAGATAATGACCGGTACTTATGGACCACACCTCAGCCGAGGGAAAAGATTAGTCAAATGCTGCCAAGTGCACAGTAAGAAAGAAAATTGGGCAAGAAAATGTACTCTCTCTCTCTGCATTAAACCCACCTCTCAATACTGCAGTGCATACTTTAATACTTGGGATTGCAACATCTGCTGCATTTTTTGTCAAATAACAAGGAATTTCACGATGATCGGTAACTTGGTATGAAGTGGAGGGGGAATACATGCAACCGACCACCCAGAGTTAGTTACACGTGAAGATTTAACGGCATCACAACGAAAATGTAGCTCGGTGATTCAGCAATGTGGTACCCTGTAATGACATCCCCGGCTGTGCAACACATCCTTTCTTGAAAGCCTTTTAATGTGTGTGTGTGTAAAAAAAACACTTTACCAACCAGTGTACCCCCCCCCCCCCCCACACACACCCCAACAACCCACCAACCCCTTCCCCAGCTACTGCCATCAAATCAAATCAAAATAGTAAGGACTCAGACAGAAAACTGGGAATGATGACAGATGCTCTTAAGGAGGTTGGAGGGGGGGGGGAGAGAAAGAGGAAACAACTCCTCTCCCAGTTTGTGTCCACTGATGACATGGCGAAGGTGTCCCGACAGCAAACCGCAGGGAAGGTTGGGTGGAGGGTGTGTTGGGGGGGTGGGTGTTGGTGTGTTGGGGGTGGGGGGTGAGTTGGGGGGTGGGGGGGTGTGTGTTGGGGGGGGGTGTGTTGGTGTGGGGGTGTATTGGGGGGTGGGGATGTGTTGGGGGTGGGTGGGGGGTGTTGGTGTGTTGGGGGGTGGGGTGTGTTGGGGGGTGTGTGTTGGGGGGGGGTGGGGGGGAGCAATTTGTGATATCACACCTCGGCCAATCTAATGTTTTTAACAGTATTGCAGTAACTCATCAATCTGATGGAATTTTTTTTGCTGTTTCAGATCAATGAAGAATTAAGAGATGAGGAGACAAGGGAGTTTGTTCTTAATTCATTTTGATTTCCTGCTAAGTCTTTATTATCAAAATATCTAATTGTAACTAAATGTGTAAATTAACTCTAAGTTCTCTTGGTTTCTTAACTCCTATATCTTCGCTAAGAATTAAGGATTGTGTTGATATAAAAAGCTCTGTTTGTATGGCTGACACAGTGGCTATGCATTGCTCTGAGACGCTATCCTGCGTGAACAGACCTATATACTGTAAATGCAAATTGTTGTCGTATTTGAAAATGAGGAGGAAAGACAAACCACTTTTGTTTTTTTAAAAAAACTGGTAAATTACTTGATCAATACATTTACTTTGATTTTTATAAAATCTTGGATCAATATTGGCTTCTACTTTATTTAACGTTGACGGTATTCTTGTTTAATTTATAAACTTAGGGTGTAGTGAAGTAGCATGGGTACATGACAATGTAATACGCAGTATACAAAATAATTGGTTTGGGGAACTGTTAACCACTCAGCAAAGAGCTATTAAACACAAATGCAACAGATAATGCATTTGAGTTCTATATTAATGTACTTTACAGAACCTTACCACTAAATGTCACAAAGCACTTTGGAAGATGAGATCCTTTCAGCTGATGAGATGGTTATTAGTCAACTGCAGCAGGTGATCTGTGCCAGCAACATCCTCCAAAAAGTAACGAGATGCATAACGAAATTGAATCTATATTCTGGATGAAGGAGGAATACTTGAAGAACTTCCTGTTCCTTCTTCAAAATCCTGCAGTGCCATGAGATCTTTAATAGCCACCTGAAGCACCAGAACAGCAAACTACATCGAAAGGTTCAAAGATCACAGGGGATTAGAATTTCACTCGCAGAAATGGTTGCTATTCTGTTTTGGTACACATAGTTCTGAACAGATTTAATAAACCAGGTGATTACCTTTTTTTCAATAACAACACTAATTGGCAGTTCACAATAGAAACACCTTGGACTTTCAGCAGTAGGCTATAAGTTTAAGACAATATTTAATTTAGACCCAGTTCTTTCCGAAAGAACAACTGACAGTTCTTGAAAAATAGGATCATTAAACTAATTACTTTCAAGTATGTATCGTCCAATCATTAATAAACTCAAAGGAGCTTTTTTTGAGCCAAAATCCTTAGTTAGTCACAATATCACCACATGGAAAGGGGCTTCTGCACAAACCTCTGCAGGCTAAAAAGCAATACCATAATAGCCTAGCAATTTGTAATGATGTACTAGTTTCATTTGTCTTCAAAACAG